TTATGTGATCACCATTTTTGTGAGGGTGCATTTGTGTTTTACAATGTGAAGCTCTCCTCTTGTCTTTTCAGTTTCTCTCCTTCGATCTCGGTGCCTCCTGCCCCTTTTGTCCCTTCAGCGGCTTCCTTTCTGTTCTCATTACCTGTTTCTTGCTCAAGGCACAGCCCCTTCTGGTCACAAGAGCCAACTTCTTTGCGACCAGCTTCTTCCCTTAGGATGCTTGCCTGTCCCTTCCCTTCCTCAGATGCTTGGCTCAGAGCATTTCCTCCTTCTCTCCAGCACATCATTTTATAATCCTTCATGGTTCGTCACTCTATAGTCTCAATATTTATTTCCCATGCTCACCCTCCTAAAATTCCAAGGTCCGCCTTCTGTAAAACTTCTTGAATTTGCCCCTGTAGTTTTTCTCTAGACTTTGTCCACAGTGTATGAGGTGTCCAAGGGTGAGCTGTGGCCGAGATTGCGATGAAGGAAGATGCCTTAAAGGGTTTGGTCTTAGAGAATGGGAGAGAAGGAGGCAAACAATGCGTGTTGGGAAGACTAGCACTGCCTTGGCAAGCTGTGGCGTGTCCTCAGGAATGGCCACAGCATGTGCTCGCCTGAAGGAAATCGCCTCGCTTTCAAATGGACAGAGGCAAATCACCACTTTTAATTCTCTTTCCTAGTTTCTTCCTCCCCTGACTTCTCACTCCCATTCCCCATGTAATTTATCTCCATTTCTACTTGCGATCCCTTGGTCTTCTTTATCATTAAGTAGCAGGCTTGAGTTAAAAACTGCCCTTAACTTAATTTTTATAGTTCAACTACTATGCAAGTAGGAGTGCTTGTATTGTATAAGAATATAAATGAATGCCAATAAATGGAGAATAACAATGATTTGGGCAAAGTGTTTGATTTTTATTTATACTAACATGAAATATGTTTTACTTTCAGTTTAAGATTATTTCATAAGTTCGACAATTTCCGGATTCTCGTTTGCGGAGGAGATGGAAGTGTTGGTTGGGTTTTGTCGGAAATTGACAAACTCAACTTGATCAAACAGGCAAGTGTCCATTCTGTTACTGTGTCAAGGTTACTGGTAACCTGAATGCGTAAGACTTAGTTCTCATGGAGAAGAGCAGAATGCAGCAGGCCCTACGCCCCAGCTTGACTGAATGAAGCGTCCTTTGTGTTCTGTTTCAGTGTAAGGTGGGAGTGTTGCCTCTCGGTACAGGTAATGACCTTGCTCGGGTCCTTGGCTGGGGAGGCTCCTGTGATGACGACACCCAGCTTCCTCAGATCCTGGAGAAGCTGGAGCGAGCCAGTACCAAAATGTTGGACAGGTAAGAGTGGGCTGAAAGTAGCATTCTGAAAACATTTATTTTAAACTGTTTTATTGCATGACCTGTTAGCAGCCCTGGTGGCTTATTCCTTGGCCTGCGATCTGCAAAGCCGGCAGTTCAAAACCACCAGCTGCCCCTGAGGAGAAAGATGGGGTTTTCCACTCCAATAAACAGTTACAGTCTTGGAAATTCACAGGGGCAGTTCTACTCCGTCCTGTAGAGTCACTGTGAGTCGACATCGACTCCATGGCAGTGAATTTGGTTTTGATTTTTGCACGTGGTATAATGGTGAAGAGTTGGATTTCTAAACCCAAGGTCAGTAGTTCAAACCCACCAGCCAACTCCAAAGGAGAAAGAAGGCTTTCTCCTCCTTCAGGGAATTACAGCCTCCAAAACCCACAGGGGCAGTTCTACACTGTCCTATAGGGTCTCTCTGAGTCAGAATTGACTCAGTGGCAGTGAGGTTTTTGTTATTTTTTTAAAAATGAGTAATATTTTTCCTTCTTGGCATAAGTTATTGATGACAAGAGTATGCTGTAAACTAGTTTCTTTTTTAAGTGTTCTTTAATTGTGGCAAATGCATGTGCAGCAAAACTATGGCCATTAAATGTGCATTCATTGGCATTGTATTCATCATGGTGTACAGCCATCCCCTATCCATTTCCAAAAATTTCTGTCACTTTCTACAGAAGCTCAGTGTCCCCTGAGCAATGAGCCTCGCTTTCCCCCTACATTTTACTGACTAAGCCCCATGCAGGCAAAGACTTCCGGGTCCTGTCCGCTGGTTCCTCCCTGAGGCACAGAGCAGAGCCTAACACAGAGTAGACAACACATACAGGGTTTTGAGTGAATGAATGAAGTGGAACAAAAACTGATAACTCATTGTTTTAAAGGTAGAAGGCTCTGTTGATTCTAACCTAAAAAACCAAACCCATTGTTGTCAAGCCAA